GAAACTGAACAGGTCCCACAACTTTCTGCTCACCATTAGTTACACAAAAGTCTATTCCAATGTAGTTTAAAACTCCAGTCTCGTATCAAGTCCTCCCTACTCCCGCCCTAGCTGAGGCAGACCTGCACTTCACTCTGGGCCCCTGCTCCTGCTCTGGTAGTGGAGAGGGGCATCATGGTCAGGGTCTAGGATGAATCCTCCCCTCCTTTTTCAAGGCAGGGAACTGGAAAGGACAACAGTGGAGAGGAAGGGGCACCAATGCAGGGGAAGGGACAGGGCAGGGGAAGGGCAGATGTCCACACTGTGGTCCTTTCCTGTGAATGGTCATGACCTCTGTGGCCAGCACTAACCACTGGTGATCTCTGAATGGTGGCACACTAAAGGCTCTCCTGGGTAAGGTCTCAGAGAGGGGGGTCTCTCCCACGCTGCCTTCCCCCAGGTTGTCCTTACCAAGCCCCCTTAGCCCTGCCTCTGTGTACCCATGGTCTCCTGTGCTGGAGTCTCCTTACCCAGTGACAGGAAACAGACAACTCAAGGCTGTCCCCTTTCATGGTATCCATAGGCCCTGTAGGAAGTCACAGGCCCTTTCTTGCCAGACTCTGCCATTTCTCCAAGGCTCTTCACCCTGCCCGATAGGCACAGGGCGATCAATGCACCAACTGCCTGAGCAGCTGACCAATGGGTGATGAGAAAACCAGCCTCTTCTTGCAGGAAAACTCCAATCTGGGAGAATGTTCTCCTAGATCCTTCTCACGTGCCTTGGGGGGGAAGGGAGAAAAAATTTCTGGCACTCCTTCCAAGGCCAGCTAGGGTGAGAGGGTTGGGAATGTGTACTGATGGTCTTGGGGTTAGTCCTATCACCTCTTAGCAAGACCTAGGAAGGAATTCTGGCCACTTGTTGGTGGCTTCTACACAAGGTGCATAATTTACCCTTCTATGTCCTCAGCTGTGACCTCCTAATTCTACTGTAATAAGAAAGTCCCACTCAACATATTCATTTTCTTTTATACATTAGTAGCTTTCTGCTCCCACTGCACTACATCTTAATTAAATATCTTAGAGATTATTCTATTTGAACTAACATAGTTCTGCCTCTTTTAAAAAACATTTTAACGTATTCCATTGTGTTGATACACTTCTTCTAAATTGGTGCCCCTTTGACGAATATTTGAGTCTTTATCGATGTCACATTTCTTGTGGATGACAAGGGAATTAGTGAGGAAAATAGTCATCTCATAGACTATCACGACCCCTATGGCCCTGATCACAGTTGCTGCAGGAAGGAACCAGGCAGGACACGGATTGAAGTACAAGTTTGCAAGAGGTGGGCTAATCTTAAGTGCAGGGTAGCCCTGAGCAACCTCTGCAGTAGCTATTTATTGAGACTACAACATACCGGTGAGGGGAGATTTGGATAATGACCACATGCTTGCATACTTAGGGATTGCCACCCAAGGGGTCCACCCCCAGGCTGCAGATCATCTTGCTCAAAGGCCATCCCGCTCTCAGAGTCCTCTGCAATAGACAGTTTGGCAGGGGGGCTGGAAATAGCCAGATTCAAAGAATGTCTGATTTTAGTGGCAGGGTGAGCTCATCACAGGTCTCCCTAAGTTTGCCCAGTATTTGTCAGCTCTGTGGAGGACGGCCCAGCCTCATGGACACCCCGCCAGCTGGTAGAAGCATCATCAATAGATTTAAAACAGAAATGCACTCGACTGCGTGCAGAGAAGCCTGGTGATGTGAAACGATCTTCCCCCTCCTTTGGACCACTATTTTCCTTTCTCACAACCAAGACTGTGATTCCATCTCGTGATATCTTTGCACACAGGTGCTATTTCTTCCTGAGAGATGATCCTGAATGAGAAGTATCCTCTCTTACTTGACAGTCATTTCCATGTTGGGTGCGAGGATTCAGTTCCCCTGAAGAACAATCAACATTCCTTTCATGGACTTGAATTTCTGGCTGTTACCTGGAGGGGTTCCAGGGCCGGCTGGGCAAGCAACCGGCAGAAAAATGTCATGGCATGATGCAAGCTCACCAGGGGGCTAGGGGAGACCCCTTCCTTTACGCTGTCCTCCCTCGAGACCCTGAGATTTGCCCTGTTGCACCGTGGAGGCAGTGCCTGCTTTGGACCCATGCACCTGGGATGGAATCCCATGTCTATCACTTCCTTGCTGGGAAGCCTTGGCCAACATCTCCTGACCTCCCCGCATCTATTTCCTGAGCCAATGACCTGAGTAGGTACTAATCCCCACTGTGGAGGATATTTATTTGTTTCTGCCCTGCCTGGCAGGGTAGGCGAGGGAGCTGACCAGATGTGGAAGAAAGGGGAAAGCTTCAGAAGAGCTTCAGCTTTGGTCCCACTGAGGCTGAGGGGCCTGTGGAATTCCCAGGTGCATCTTCTCCAAGGCAATGAGGCGTCCATCTCTGAGGCTCGGGAGAGAGGCGTGGGCAGGAGAAATCAATGCAGTACTCAGTGAGGGTGACAACTGGAGCCTCGGCCTTCAGGGAGGGCATGTACACAGCAAGGTCAAGGGCCAGGATGTCCCATGTGTGGGGGCAAGATTCTCAAGAGGCTGAAACAGAATGTCCACCTGTACAGAAAGAACAAAAAGATCCTGCTGCAGTTAGCAGTGGAAGAGAGAGCTCCCAGGGATTGCGGTGGCCCACAAGGTGGGATCCTGCAAAGTTGGGGCGGAAGGTGTTCATTGCGGCAAAATGTTTTTCAGCACTCCCCAACCTGGGGGTACAAATGTGATCACATTCATGGCAACAGTGTGTATTTCACTCACCGTTGCCACCTATCTGCCTGGCAAGGCTGCCTCTCCCCTGAAAAATGCCCTCACTTCCCACTAAGTATTTCTGGGTTCCCCGAGGAGAGGCCATGAGTGCTCAGCCATGCACAGTTTCTTCTGTCCACAGCTCTTGAGGACGGGACCTCTGTAGCCCCATAGTGACACTTCATGGAGATGCTTCTGACATCCATGCTTAGTCTTGCCCCCAATGAGCCAGAGCTACAAGCCTCCATGAAGTCCATGGAGCAGAACTTGCTATGCTGAGCTAGGAGTGTTTTCTGGGAAATGAAGAAGACTCCCCCTCTGTGCCATCTGTCTGCATCCCATAGTACTTGTGGTGCCTCACGGAAATGCCATTTGCAGCCTGTGCCTTGCAACCCTGAAGCTTCAGACCCCCACCCCCAGGGCTGAGACAGGAGAGACTTGGTACCACAGCCTCTGCCCAGGTGCCCAGACTTTCAGGTTGATCCTGTGCAAACAGGTGTTATAGAAGGTTTGCTCCACCAGTTTACCAAAGACTCAACACCCAGACTTCTGGGTGAGGCTCAGTGGGCATGGGAAGCCCCAGGTGATTTAGCAATGTAGACAGAGCTCATGGTGGGTGCCGCCCAGCAGAGTTTCAGCAGAATGTTTGATAAGGAGGTCAGGTTGCAGTGATAGAAGCAGAGGGTGGGGCGTGTACAGAGAGTTTCAGACAGGGCGGGCTCAGGAGCACAGGAAATGGATGCAATGGGGGTTTTTAACAAGGGAGACATTTGAACATAGTCACGTGCTGAGGAAAAAGACATCAGGAAGGGGAGACTAACAACGGCCACTGAGAAGAGAAAGGTGGGAGCAGCAAGCTGCGTGTCCCAGGAGGACGACGGCTGCAGGAAACTGCCCTGTGGCCCTGATAGGACTTTGGGCCCTCTGGGAAAGGATGACAAAGAAGAGGGGAGATGCAGACCCTGCCACTGAGTGAGTTCTGGGGTGAGCCCTCCCCATCTCTCTGTCTACAGAGATCTCGCTCAGTTCCCTCTCTGTGACCCAGAGTCTGGGCTTCTCATTCTGTCATTTTAACTTTAGTAACAACTAAAGTCACTTTTGTTCCTTCTCTCTTTAACACTGTGCTTGGGATTCCACCTATGTGACAGTGGTGGTGTCCTGCTCCAGCCCCAGCCCCTCATCATTGAAGATATGCTGATTTCAGTGTGCAAAAAGACCCACTTTTTTCCTTTTTTTTTTTTTTTTGAAGTTTTTAAGTTTTTGGCCAGGGCCAGGTTTGAACCCACCACCTCCAGTATATGGAGCCAGCCCCCTACTCCTTTGAGCCACAGGCGCCACCCTGATGACCTACTTTTAATAGAGTTTTTTCCTTGATCCATTAATTTAACTTACTACACAGGGGAGGGGTCAGAACTGGGCCTGGGAGCAGAAGATGCTGCCTACTGAGGAGGGAGACTGGGGCCCCCTGGGTTATTACACAAACAGTGAACACACAGGGGCAGAGGAAAAGACTCTCATTTGATCTATAGTTTGGAGTCAGGGCTCCACTGGAATTTGCTTCTGAACAGCTGTGGAAGGGTCCTCAGCTCTAAGCTTCACTGGTGAAGCAGGTGGCTCCAAGGCCTGGGCTTGTGGGACCGGGGGCAGCTGGAGCTCCAGCTGCTGCCACTAAAGAACCCACCTCTGTATTGTCTCACCAACTCTTCAGAGAGCAGTGGCAAGTCTGGATTCTTTTGTGAAATCTTGAGATTTTTAAATACTTAGAATCACAACAACAAACCCCCCCAATGCACAGGGTAAGCAAACACAGTGGAGGCAGTGTCCACATGGGGAGCAAAGTCAGTTTCAACTTCAGTTCCTCCAAAGAGATTTCAAAGCTTTCTGCTTCTTGAGTGATTCTGTTTGCGTTTTTAAGTCCAACCACATTTCCAAAAGGGGAAACAAAGAATTTGCTCTGAGAGGTCACTGTCTCCTCAAGGCTGGTCTGTGCAGGCTGTGCTTCCCTAGGGGATGACTGAACTCTGATCCTTGCCACAGGCAGGCACTCCCAAAAGGTCTGAGGACAAAGGGAGCAACCTGGACAAAGCTGTTAATGATAAAATAGCGAGTACCCCTTCACGGGCACAGCTAGTGGATATACCAGATGGAGACGCCTTTGCAGCTGTCCCTTTAAAACTAGAGCTTGCTACGAGGCAAACCCCTCCTCCAGGGAGGTTCCTTCTTAAATGAGAGCCAGCTGGCGGCCCTGAGCTACCTGCAACTGGGGGCTCCTCTGGAGACGGCAGCCTGTCAGCTATGGCTCAAGAATTTGTGAACAGCAGAATCCAGCCTGGGAAGGTGGTGGTGTTCATCAAACCTACCTGCCCCTACTGCAGGAGGACCCAAGAGATTCTCAGTCAACTGCCCCTCAAACAGGGAATTATGGAATTTGTCGATATCACAGCCACCAGCTACACAGATGAGATTCAAGATTATTTGCAACGGCTCACAGGAGCAAGAACAGTGAGTGTGGGGGTTAGTTCTAAAAGGCTGGGAGAGGGCTCTCTGCTTTTTCTTTCTAGGGCGGTGCCTTTCTCTAGGTCATTCAAGGCATTTAGAGGGCTTTGCAGGGTGTGGGGGAGGGCGCCTGAGGGAAGACAGTGGCCACTGGACTTGAGTGGCTGGCCTGCAGCCAGTGGTCCTCCCAGAGCAGAGAAGGGGCACAGCTAATGTGTGTTGTGTGGCATCGGTCAGTGGCTGGCAGCTTGTCTGAGAGTCTCCGAGGAGGAGTCAGGAATCATCTGGAGTCTTTGTTTTAAATACTGCCTGTGAGATGACAGTATTCAGCCTTCTACCCTTCCCGTGGAAGGAAGGCTGGGCAGAGGACCAAGGTGCAACCTGAAATGTCTCTTACCCCACATGGGAGTCCAGTGCACACTTCCTTCTGTTTTTGTGGGGCGGGTGGGTTTACTGTCTTCAGTCTTTCCTCTGGGCTTTCTTTCACCATAACCTACTTTGCACCTTCTTCCTTATCTAACTCCTCCCCCTGGAAAATGCTAATGCATTATCTGCCCTTTGCTCTAAATAAATTACAGGTACTTCTAGGCCCATCAGAGTAGGAAGTTTGTAAGCCACAGCTCTCAAATCGGCTGCTGTGTGACCCAGGGCAAGTCACCACCTCTTGGACCCTTAAAAATCCCAGCTGCAAAACCAGATTAAAGTAGGTGACCTAAAAGCCCCCTTTGCCAAGAACAGACTGTGGGACCACCTAAGAACTGCTGTCCTCCCTCCCTGTGCTCAGCATCCTGGGCTTCAGGTGGAATCCCCACTGGCCAGATCACCTGTGTTAGTTTGGGTGCTGCTGGAGTGAGAACTTCTCCCCCCAGCTCACTAAAATTCCCTTTCAGGATGACATGTTACAGCAGCAGTGTCCTGTTTCAGTTTGAGTTTGGTTTGATTTGTGATGTTTTCTCTGGTTCTGACTGTAAAGCATTGGAAGTGGTTTCTCCCTTTCTCTCCAATAAGAAATGAACATTTTGGAGTAGAGTGAGGCTAAAGGTATTACCCTGTTGCTGTGAGCCAAGGTCCTGGGAGACACAATGGTGAGAGGTTCTTGTGGTTTAGGCGACCACCAGCCACACACGATGCCAGGCCCTAAGAAGGGAAGGCCAGTGCCAGTGCTACCACCCCTGGTCTCACCGTGCCTCCACATGGGATCTCTCCCAGCTGTGGTTCCTAAGCTTTGCCTCATGTTAGAATCACCTGGGGAGCTTTTAGAACAATCCTGATGCCCAAGTTACACCCCAGACCAATTAAATCAGTGTTGGAGGTGGGAGCCCAGAGTCACTAGTTTGCAAGATCCCTACCTGAGTCCACTTTGCAACAACTCACGGGAACTACTGTTCTTAGCCCAATAGTACCTGATCTCTAGCAGGAAGACCAGACCTCTTCATACGTCCATTTAATGAGTATTTTTCCTTTCTTTATAAAGCTATGATATTTTTTGTATTGGAGTTTTTGTTTTGTTTTGAGATGGAGTCTCTGTTTCCCTGGCATCATAGCTCACAGCAACTTCAAACTCTTGGCCTCAAGAGATCCTCTTGCCTCAGTTTTTCTCTTTTTAGTAGAGATGGAGTCTCAGTCTTGCTCAGGCTGGTCTTGAACCTCCAAGTTCAAGGGATCCACCCACCTCAACCTCTCAGAGTGTTAAGACAACAGGCATGAGCCACTGTGCCCAGCCATTGTGTTGGTCTTTTAAGTTTGTTTTTAATATTTAAAAGACATTTTTCAAAGATTCTTGAGTGCTAAATGCATTCCACCAAGGGGAAGGACACGTCCTCTGAAGCTGTATGCTTCACAGTCCCCAACAGTCAAGTGTTCTTGATTTTGAGAGCAGATTCCATCTTGATTACGCTACAGTGTCCTGGGATACCATGAGTATAGCAGGAGACTGGCAGGACCCAGCTGAGGGCAGCCCCCATGCTTCCCTTGAGGCCGGGCACTCTGGTCTCGCACAGCCAGAGATCCTGGAGCAACACACCTTTCACTCCTCAGTGCTCTGAGTGTCTGATCTGCATCCTGCTCCTTCTGCCTGAAGAACTTCTTTGAACATTTCTTGCAAGGCATTTCTACTGGGAACAAATTCCCTCAAGGTTTGCCTGAGAAAGTATGTATTTTCCCTGCATATTTAAAGGATGACTTTGCTGGGTACAACAGACATTTTTAAGCACTTGGTGTGTAATAGGTACTTTTCTGGACATTGGGAACATAGCCATGGGGGGGGAAATCCTGCCATTGTTAAAGCTACATTCCAGTGAAGGAGACAAACAATAAATACTAAAAATAGTAAGTGGAGAAGTGGCTAGTGTCATGTACTATGAAGAAAAATTAAATGGGAAAGGCAGTAAGGAGTAGGCAGCAGGACACTGTTTTAAATGGAGACATATGAGCCCTGCTGAGAGGCAAAATTTCAGTAGATCCAGGAGGTGAGAGAGAGAGACACAAGAATGTAGGGACAGGGCATTCCAGGCTGTGGGAACAGCAAGTGCAAAGGTCCTGTGGTGAGTGTCTGGGAGGTTCATGGAATAGCAACGAGGTCAGTATTACTGGAGCATTATGAGCTAGGATAGAGTTAGAGGTTAGATAATGGGAGATGGGTCAAGAAGGCCTTTCAGAGTGGACTTCCAGACTGGTCAAGGACAGTGGCTTGTACTTGGCATGAGATGAGACGTGATTGGTGGGTTTTGAGCAGAAGAGTAACTCAATCTGAGTTTTGAAATGGTCCCTCTGGTAGTGATGGGGATAACAGACAGTGAGAGGGCCAGTGTGGGGTTAAGCTGGGAGACACTTGGAGGCTACAGTAATGAGTCCTATAAAAATGACAGTGGCTTGGAGCAGGGACATAGCCAAGGAAGTGGTGAGGAGTGTGGGAGAGAGTTGTGGTTACATCCCAAGTAACCCCAGAGTATCGAAGGTGGTGCTGGTGGGGCCCGGGAGACCCACTCCTGGGGGGAGGAAGGTGGTGCTGTTGGGGTCAGGGAGACCTACTCCAGGGGAGGAGGGTCCCGGTATTCCCCCCACCCGTCCTTATGGTGAACAGACCCAAGTTCCTCCAGGGAAGGGGCGGAGTCCGGAGGGAGATGGCAGCTGGCAGTTTCCTCCTTTGCTCAGGGTCTCTGAGCTTTCTGTTTAGTCACCGCTGTCCTCCAGCTGTGCTGTGTGTCTGCTGCTCAGCCCCCTTAAGGCAGTTTTGCTGTTCCCCAGACTAGAAGGTGGGTGTGAGGACAAAGTGGTCTTTCAGTCTCTAAGTGAAAGCACCAGCTTTGCTAGTGGGGGTACACAAAACTCTACCCTGGGGACAGCCTGATCACATTTCAGGGCCTGTCTCAGGAGGCTGGGGCAGCTCTCCAGCAGCTGCTGGTGCAGGGAGCCTCCGCTGTGCTGGGAGGGACACCTGCTCATTGTAGACCAGGGCTATAAAGACAGGACGCCAGGAGCAGCAGCAGCAGCAGCAGCGAGGCCTGCAAACTTGTTAGAAATGTAAAATGCAAGATCTGGGCTCCCAACCCAGATCTTCTGGATCAGAAATCGAGGGTGAGAAGGGAGAGAGAGAAATCTGTTTTAATAGGTCCTTCTGTGGTTCTCCTCACTCTAGTTGTAGAACCACTGTCTAGGGAGAGGACTTCTTATTTCCCAGGGCATTCTCAAAAGCTAAGTTAGCTCAAGCCCTGAGGCCAGCACCCAGGCCAGAGGTGGAGATTTGGAAAGCTGCAGGAGTAGAGATGATTACTCAATTTTTTCTAAAAATATAAAATTTCAAGCATAAATACATTGCTTCCTTGTTTAAAGCTCAGATGATTTTTATTTAATTAGACAAGTCCTTAACAAGAGGAGCTATGCAGCAGAATTGCACTACCATTACCTGAGGGCTGTGTTTGCTGATATAGCCAAGCGTCACTGGGCAGACGCAAGTGGAAAGGTCCTAACTCTTTGCTTAGGGGAGCTTCGTTTCTCTAAAATGATGGCCAGCATCCAGGGAGAAAAGATAGGCTTCTCACCTCATCTGCCTGCTGCTGTTATTACAGATGATAAAGAAACCAGGTCACACTGATGACTCATCCCATTTGCAAAGCCTCCCACACAGTGGTGGCTGGAGGTGGAGACAGTGTCTTCTGTGACTCAGTGGGGTCACCAGACAAAGCCACCTGGGTTTCTTCCCACTCTTAGGGCACAGGAAATAGCCGTGGAAATGTGGTATGAGGTTTCTCTTTAATTTTTAGTGTTGATTTTTAAAGCCTACTTTCATCCAGAACCGCTTTGTAATAAAAAAAAAAAATACTGTAATTCAGCCCCTTTTCTCATATTTTTCACTTTTTAAATAAGCTTCTGGACAGAAGGACTGAAAAACACCAGAGCTTCTGGCAGAGGGAAAAACCCAAATGGGAGTCTCCAGCGGGGGCGTGTCCAGGAGCATCTTGAGGGTCTTGAGAGTTACTCCTGGCCAGGCCTCGACCTAATGAGCATTACTGAGGGATGAATGAATGCGGTCCCTCCAGCTCCAGCAAAAGGTCGGCGCGTTCCCTTCGTGACATTGTCCAGGCCTAGGAAAGCTGGGGTCCCCAGTCCAGCCTTGAACAGGGGAACCCCGCATCAACACCGGACGATGGAGCCCGTGGTGGCAAACACAGCGACAGGCTCTGCCCGCCAACCGCTGGTGAACACACCACAGTTCGCGGGGCGCTTATTCAAAGCGAGCATCTGTACCGGGGATTTTATTACTGTCTTTAACTCCAGGTGGTGATCCAGGTTTTCCAGTGGCCGCAGCTGTTGCACCTCCGTGCCCTAAAACAGGGTTCACCTTAGCTTCCGAGGAGCTGCCCCCTCCGCCCCTCCGCCCTCCGCCCGCAGCTCCCCTAAGGGGCCAGCTGGTTTCCTGGAGTCTGCGCCATCGCTCCCTCCCGCTCTGCATGCTCAGCCTCCAGCGGGTCCTGGAGCTCCAGGGCCGCCCCGCCTCGCCTCGGTCTCTGCTCCCAGAGCTGTGAGAAACACCCAGCCCAGCCCTCCCAGCTGCAGGGGCACGTTTCTTCTCCCTACTGTGTGGAGGGCTCTTTTGACCAGCAGTGGCATCCGGCCCAGGTGTCAGGCCCCTCCTGGTGGGGCCTGCAGAGGGACAGTAGACTCCCACTGAGCACCGCCCATGGCCCTAGATCCTGGCGCCTCATACCAGTTGGGAACCAGTCCCGTCCTCGTTGCCATCAGTAATGCGAGTGTTCTGACTGGACAGACCAGGCACACCTTGGGCACTGAGGGCAGGTGTACTTTGTCTGTATTCGGCTCACGGAGGCTGGGGAGCTGCAAGTCTGCACAAGTGGGAGGCCTTGTCCATCTTTGGGGGAGGGGGGCAACAGGGGCAGGTGCCAAGCAGCAGTCCAGGAAGCATGGCATCTCTGTATGGTCGTGGTTATCTAACAGAAACAGTGACTTCGGGCAGCATCATGCATGAGAAAGCCCAAACAATTTTGTCTGGCTCTAGACCCCATAGCTGAGAACAGAGCTTACCTGAGTTTTAACAGAGAAGGCTGGATTTAATAAAACAGGGACAGAGACCTAATGCAAATACTTTTCCAGCTACATTTAGACATGAATTCCTTCCTGATGGCTGTGGCAGTTTACAATCTCAGGTGTAGTCCCAGTTTCAGAGAAACCAGATTCCAATCAGGGTGGTCTGACTGCAGCCAGTCAAAATCTCTCCCTGAAAAATGTTTCTATAGAGCGAAATTTTAAAATATCCTTGACAAGTTGTATAGTCTCATGCACAGCATCCTCGATTTGAAAAATATCCTGCCTTACCCATGTTAATGTTTAATAATGTTACCATGTTATGTTTAATAATATTACTAAGCATGTTATTAAGATATAACAGTAAGAAAGTTCTGTCCTGTAAAAATAGATATGAGGAAGTTGTAAAGGGATTTTAAAAGGTTGGAATCATGGGAAACAGAGGAAGGATAAAAATATTCTTTCTAATCCACTAGTAGGTAAATTCCTTAAGTGTCCTGGGTTTTTTGTTTTTTTAGGTGCCCCGAGTCTTCATTGGTAAAGAATGTATAGGTGGATGCAGTGACCTCATAACCATGCAAGAAAGTGGGGAGCTGGTGCCTCGACTCAGGCAGATTGGAGCTCTGCAGTAATCACAGGTGAGAGGCCAATGATAGGAGGTGGGGAGCTGGGGTCTCGACTCAGGCAGATGAGCTCTGTAGTAATCACAGGTGAGTGGCTGGTGATACGAGGTGGGGAGCTGGGGTCTCGACTCAGGCAGATGAGCTCTGCAGTAATCACAGGTGAGTGGCTGGTGAAATGCTGGGCCGCAGCACCGGGGTGGTGGCATTCTCCTGCCAGGGGTTCTTATACTGCAGGGTGGCATCTTGATGGGGTGAGTTGAGAAACTGTGACATTAATTACTTACGAATTTCACCTTTGACAAGTGGATCAATTATGTCAATGGAAGAAATCCTTTGGCTGATCCTTCATTTAGTGAATATTTATTTTGCATTCACTTTGTGCCAGACACTGTACTAGGCACTGGGAATGTAAACAAGATAGCATGGGACTTGTATTTTAGAAAAGCAGAAGGATAAACAAGTGACTCATTCCTGAAACCGAAAGAACAGTGTGTTAGAACGTGTGAGGAGGTGGGCAACAAACTTAGCTAATATAGTAAGAAGGGGCGGGCTGCGCCGAGATCTGTTTGACCCGAAGATGACAGTTACATAAAGATGAAACAGAAGGACTTTTCAGGCAGAGGGAGTGTGAAGGGCAAAGGCTCTGAAGAAAATGAGGGAAATGCAGTGGGAAGGAAACACCCTGAGCAATGTGGGCAGAAGCCAGAGCACACGGGCCATGGGAGGCAATTTGCATTTATTCTAACCTAAATGAAATGTGAAATGGAAGTGTTTTTTGCTTTACCTGTATTCATAAAGCAGATCAACTCAATCTGACTGTCTTGTCAAGCACCAAAATGAAGTTTTCTATGGTCAGGAATCTAAAGGAGACCTTTGGCTCAGTGGAAAACTATAGGGTGGTGAACTTTTTGGAAAGGAACCAGGATGCTTCAGGCCTCTAACAAGTCCTCTGCCTCCCAGCACTGTGTTGGTGCTAAGTAGTTTCTAAATAGGCCAATTTCATTGATTTGGACACAGACAGATTCAAATGTTTCTTTACTCAAGAGAAAAATTAATGGTTCTTTAACCAAAATGCTCCCTGGCATTTATTGCCCACTAATAAATAACTTATCCTTTGGGCAATGAGTATACTAATTTGTGATAGTTACTCAGAATGACAATAGAAGGGGGGGGAAATCTGGGAAAAATACAACTGTGTCTCCTGAAATAAAATAGTCAATGTTATAAATCTTCTAATCACAATTCTGCAACCTCATCACAGCAGGTGAACCCTATGTCTGTTTGGGTTAGCTTTAAAGTACTCAAAAACCAGTTAACAATGGTACCAAATGTTTCCTATTCTAGAACACATTTAGTAATTTGGGCTTAATTAAGAATGGAAGCAGATGGAAAATACCATTTCCCCGATGGTCTCTGTTGGAGTCCCCTGTACCCAGGAAGTTTCCCTGTCTGCCTTGCTCTCCTCCATCAGCAGTCTGGGACTATTTCTGGCACAAGGTCATCCATAACAGAGTGTGTTTAAATGGCAGGAGCATTGTGCTGGTAATGCAGATAAGTGTAAAAAGATCCCATTCTTTATTCCTCCCCCCGCCCCCCGGCAGAGCAGGACCCAGCTGACATCCCCCTCCAGAGCTGAACAGCATCACAGAGGATGGCAGCACTTCTGACGGATGGGATCTGACACAAACAGCTTTTTTCTTTTTTTTGGCTCAGTATTAAAAAGTGGACCAACCTGCCCCTAACCACAGGGCCAAAAAGGTTGACGGGCCATCTTGGTTTTCTTCTGCTTTGGTCCTTTGGGTTCCAGGAGATGGCAACAATTCCTGGCCCAAGATTCACTCGCTGACCCAAGCTTTGTTCTTTCTCCTTGGCATGTGTTTCTTGCTGTCCTGCGTGCTGGTGAACCTCCCCCTGTTAGACAGTGTTTCTCAGACACCTTTGTCCAGACCTGCCCGGCACAGACCTGCACTTGGATTTCTGCCACTGCCCATCAGCTGGAACTATTTTGCTGAGCTTGACTTTATGGAGTCTGTGTTATGAAATTGGGGAGGGAGTTATTTTGAATTTGTTCTTTCAAACTACATGCGTCCCTCCACCCACCTTGAGAATTAAGGCCCTGAACCAGTGTTCGAGACCTGGCCCTCTCAAAGTTCTGAGGAAACGCCCCGCTGTTGTGGGAAAGGTCTGGGACCACGTGTGAGGCCATGCAGAGTGAAGCAGGGTTGGGTTTCACTGGTACCTCGGGGCCAGAGGTGCCAGCACAAGGGCTGCGGTCACAGGGCCACCGTTGGTGGAAGGTAGTTATCCAGGCAGGTGACCCTGAGCCACCATGTGCTAATTTAGATCACCAGCAAGATGCAAACAGAAGGTGTAGGCCGTTATCATGGAAAACTTGCAGCCGCCCCTCCCAGTAGGTCTGTGTAGAGCAAATGTGGAAGACACTGTCCTGACGAGTCTTCTCCCTGCCCTTTCCCTGCCCTGTAATTACTTTTCAGGAAGTTTGTTCTAAAGCTGAAAGAGTAAGTTCTTTTCCTTTAGCAGTCTCTAGTGAAAATTGTCAATTCCTAATAAAGTACCAATAGACGACACAAAGATTTTAGTCCAGTTCTTTATGTTCTCAACACCTCCAGGAATAAGGATGTGTCTGTAGGATGCAGGGACAGACGTGAATTCCTGTCAGGAATAACTAAGGAATAGTTACAGCCGTATTCACGCCTCTCCCTGCATCCTAAAGACATGTGCTGCCGTCACATCACTGAGTACAAGTGGTTCATGTATCTTTAAAATTTCACGTTGAATAGCTGAAGTATGCCTGCATTCACCTACCTGATAATGTTTAGGGTTCAATAAGCCTTTTTTGTTTCATATTCTATCTTTCCATTTCCCAAAGGCAAGAACCTAGGCTTAACTATCACTGTATATCCAGTTTCTGGCATAGAAAGTCTCCTTGATCAGCTGGGCATAGTGGTTCATGCCTGTAATCTCAGCACTCAGGCCGAGGCGGATGGATTGCTTGAGGTCAGGAGTTCCAGACCAGCCTAAGCAAGAGTGAGACTCCCATCTCTACTAAAAATAGAGTAACTACTTGGGCGTTATGGCAGGTGCCTATAGTCTCAGCTACTTGGGAGGCTGAGACAAGAGGATTGCCAGTAATTTGAGGTTGCTGTGAGCTATGATGCCATGGCACTAACCAGGGCAACAGAGTTAGTTTGTCTCAAAAAAAAAAAAAACCACTTGGTGCCTGTAGCACAGTAGTTATGGTGCCAGCCACATGCATCAAGGCTGGTGGTTCAAACCCTGCCTGGGATTGCCAAACAAAAATGACAACTGCAACAAAAATAGCTGTGCTTTGTGGTGGGCACCAGTAGTCCCTGGGAGGCTAAGGCAAGAAAATTGTTTAAGCCCAAGAGTTTGAAGTTGCTATGAGCTATGACACCATAGCACTCTACCAAGGACAACATAGTGAGACTCTGTCTCAAAAAAAAGAAAAAAAGAAAAAAACAGACTTTATCAAGGCAATGCATGCATATTATTTAAAAAGCCAAACCTGTCAGTCCCTGCCCACCTCTTGCAAACCCCTGTCCTGGTCACACATGTATTAGTTACATGGCCATTTAAGCCTATTTAAAATTTTAAATGTGTTGGACATGTGAAAGAATATATAATTCTATTTAACACTCACATATGTACCTCCTAGGTTAAGAAATAAAGCTTGTGGCTCGGTGCCTATAGCTCAGCCAGCTAAGGCGCCAGCTACGTACACCTAAGGTGGCGGGTTCGAATCCCCAGCCTGGACCCGCCAAACAACAATGACAGCTGCAACCAAAAAATAGCCGGGCGTTGTGGCGGGCGCCTGTGGTCCCAGCTACTTGGAAGGCTGAGGCAAGAGACTCGCTTGAGCCCAGGAGTTGGAGGTTGCTGTGAGCTGTAATGCCACGGCACTCTACCCAGGGGGACAGCTTGAGGCTCTGTCTCAAAAAAAAAAAGAAATAAAGCTTGTATGGACAGGCATTTCTAAGGTACTGAGCAAGCACCCACCCTTCCCCAAGATGACCTCCCTCTACCAAAATAACTGCTGGTTCATTTTTGTTGTAATTATTCTCAAATGTCTCTCTATATATTTGCTTTATAATATCCCCAAGCAATGTACTTTGCTTTTTTATTTTTATTATTTTTTTAGAGACAGAGTCTTACTTTATCACCCTTGGTAGAGTGCCATGATGTCACAGCTCACAGCAACCTCCAACTCCGGGGAGTAGGTGATTCTCTTGCCTCAGCCTCCCGAGTAGCTGTGACTACAGGCACCCGCCACAACACCCAGCTATTTTTTGTTGCGGTTTGGCCAGGGCCGGATTCGAACCCACCACCCTTGGTATATGGGGCCAGCACCCCACCCACTGAGCCACAGGTGCCACCCAATGCACTTTACTTTTGAAAAGCAGTAGACAGCACCGTGCTAGCTGTGTGAGGAAAGGGCAATGCTGTCCCAACTATGTGAATGCTCCCAAGAGCTGAGGGGCTGGACTCCAAGTCACAGGCCAGCTTCAGCATCCCTGGGAGTTTTCCAGAGCCTCTTCTGGGGAAGCCAGGGCTTCTCCTACATGAGTCCTTGGAAAGGCAGGGCACCCCACAACCAGGAAGGCTCCTGCATGAACCAGGCACTGGGTGTCCCCCAGAAACACGACCAGTGGGATGCTGATCTGTGTCTGTCCTGCTTCAGTCAGCATGGCCACCTCCAGCTGGCAGGTCAGCACGCAGCCCTCAGCTGGCCAGGGGTGAGACAGGGAGAGCAGGAGCTTCACCAGCACAAGGAGAGCTAATGCAGATAAAGAGACGCTTCATGATCATTGGGCTTTCTGTCCTCCAGCCAAAAAAAAAAAAAAAAAAAAAACGAGAGTCTCCAAAGTAGAGAATTACACTCCCCCGATCTAGACTGGCTCTGTCCCTGGGCTCACCTCTGTCATTCTGGGGCCCCTGTCTCCTATGTTTATCTCCTGTGACCCACACGTCCTAGGATACAAGCTAAGCTGCCATAACAAAAGACATAAAAACAGGATAGAAGCTTCTTCCCCTCTCATGACAGTCCAGAAGCAGGCAGGTGACTTTTGCTCTTGTGACTGACCCCGGAGTTGTGTGCGGCCCTTCTGCTCACAGCCCATTGGCCAGAACTCAGGGCCTTCCCTCACCACAGGGAAGGCAAAGGGGCACCCAGCTGGGAAGCCTCTTGCCCAGCTGAAACTCAGGAGATCTGCACCAAAAGGAAGGGGGAGAAAGGACACAGAAAGGAAATCAGCACTGTGTGTCTTTCCTTCATTCTTTTCCTTTCAGCCCCTGTCGTCTGTACCTGTTTTATATTCAAGAGGCTTCCTCAAAGGTTGGAGATCCGTGTGTCTGCAAACATTTAAGAATGAGGCACTAAAAAAACTGGCTGGCAGGTCTGTGTGTGGACTGGGCTTGTGACAGGTGCCTCACTGCACAGACTGTGTTCCAACGTCACCTTCTTGGCAAGAGACCCCCCAACCCTGTCGAAAATGCAGCACCCACCCATCCATTCTCACCTAGCATTTCCTAGCCCTCTTTGGACTTGTTTTTCTCCATAGAATGTCTAACATATTGCATAATTTATTTATTTACTTCCTTTTCTGTCTGTCTTCATCACTACAAGTGAGCCCTCGAGGGCAGCCATCAGCATCATTGTATTTATTGTTGTGTCTGCAGCAATGGGAAGACTGCTTGGCACATAGTAGGCACTGAAATCCCAGTCAAGTGTGCAAACAGATGAATTAAAAAATGGTCATGAGTGATCAGCTGTGGATCTGGCCATTTCACTGGAAGATCCCCAACTGTCAGCTCCTGGACCAATCTTTTCTTCTGAGCCATTTGGCCTCTCCAGATGCACAGCTGGGGCATTAGGCCCATCGCCAGTGTTCTGGCTGCCAAACAGGGGAAAGGAACTTGGCAGATCCCAACCAGTGTGTGGACTCTCATATAATCTCCCATTTTCTGCTGAGTAATTCTGTGTGACATGCAAGGATAAAAAGGACCATCCTCCACAGAGTGCTGAGAGGCTGGCATTGTTGCAAGAAAACAGCAAATTAAAACTGACAAACATTTACACCGACAATATAGAGCAGGTGTCCTCAAACTATGGCCCATGGGCCACATGCAGCCCACCTAGGACATTCATCCAGGCCGCTGGGTGTTTTTGCTGCTGCTGCCTGTCCTGCTTAGCAGCTGACTCGTCCCGGAGCCCACAGTCCAGCCCTCCAATAGTCTGAGGGACAGTGAACTGGCCCCCTGTTTAAAAAGTTTGGGGACCCTGATATAGAGGATGGAATCTTTAATTGCCAGCAAGAATTCAGGTGCCTCAAGGCATAAAATGCTGAGTTCTGGGGAAACAGTTGTTTTCAAACTCTTTTATATTTTTTTTCTTCAGCTCAGTATCAGCTGCATAGTTACAATTACAACAGAGGGTACAAAGAGTTAATGATTATATTTCTCAAGAATCCAGGGTGCTGTTATCTGTTACATAGTTTTTTTCAAGGTTCTTTCAGCTCTGTGTAAAGCTTGTTCTTATTTGGGGAGGAGGAGTTCTTTTGCAGCTGCCTTATTAAGAAGTTTAAGATTGGCTGGGCGCCTGTAGCTCTGCAGCTAGGGTGCCAGCCACATACACCAGAGCTGGCAGGTTCAAATCCAGTCCAGGCCTGCCAAACAACCATGCCAACTACAACCAAAAAATAGCCAGGCGTTGTGGCGGGTGCCTGTAATCCCAGCTACTTGGGAAGCTGAGGCAAGAAAATCACTTAAGCCCAAGAGCTGGAGGTTGTTGTGAGCTGTGATGTCACAGCACTCTACCGAGGGTGACATAGTAAAATACTGCCTCAAAAAAAGTTTAGATTTATCTTGTTTTTTTTTTTTTTTTGAGACAGAGCCTCTAGCTGTCCCCCTGGGTAGAGTGCTGTGGAATCACAGCTCAAAGCAACCTCCAACTCCTGGGCTCAAACAAGTCTCCTGCCTCCGCCTCCCAAGTAGCTGGGAACATAGGTGCCCACCACAACATCTGGCTATTTTTTGGTTGCAGCTGTCATTGTTGTTTGGCAGGTCCGGGCTGGATTCAAACCCACCACCTTAGGTGTATGTGGCTGGCGCCTTAGCCACTTAAGCCACAGGCGCCGAGCCTAGATTTATCTTGTAAATCTTATAAATCTATAGGGGTTTAGCATTGATCAGGAATGGGGTCTCAGTTTATTCCTTATTGGTCCCCCCTCTGTCTCTAAAAAATAAAAAAGAAAGAAAAGAAAGACTGAGCAATTGTGATAAAAGAGAGCGCAGGCAAAGTGTTCATAGCTCAATGATATCATTGTCGTAACTCATCACGGAAAGCCTGGTACCTAGGCTTGAGTTGCCTTTGGTTATTTTCCCTTTAACTGTTACACCTTCCATGTGCATGGGTCTCTTCCAGGTACATTCATTCCTAACATAAGGCTTTCTCCTTTTGCTCGTCTAGGGTGAGAAGGGTTGGTTATATTTAGTATCAGTGGATTACAGTTCTCCTGTTACAACCAGGGGAAGGAGGCTTACCATCTAATGGG